GTGTTATTTTTTCTTTGTTTTTACCCTAGAGATCATTAGATGCTTAATGTTAACAGGTCATCGCAAATTGTTTTGGTTTTGGAAATACCTTTTCTAAAAGAATGTTTCCCCATTTTCTTGTACATGAGTAAAATGAAGGTAGTGATCCTTGCTATAAGGCCTTACAGAAAAGGAAAACAAGGGCTCAGTATATACGAGGTAGGACAGTATATGCTAGTGCCTCGTCTGCCCTTTAAAGCAATTTTGGAACTCTCTTTCTGCAATTGCTATCAGAGTTGTCATACAGGTCCAAAAATTAAGTTCATAAACTCATCCTAGAAAAAGTTCTTTGAAGTGTGGGCTAGGTACTACTATCAGTGCATAGCTTGCCAGGGGGAATACTTGAAGATGACCATAGTGATATTTAGCAGTGAGGCATGTAGCACTCTAGGATGAGTTTGAGAACCTAATTGTCCAGCCTTCTATTGGTATTATATAGACCAAGTAGACCAGGCATGCTTGTTTAGTTTTGTTGTTAAGAGTTTGCAAAATAGAAAAGTGCATAAAATGATTGACCTTTGCATTTAGAATAAAAAGTGTCATTAGTTATTCTCTGTTACATACCATGCTACGAAAAGGACTAAACAGATAATAAACAGATCTAACTCACCCTGAAATGTTGGAGGTTCAGATAAAATAATAGATAAATCACTGTTAATTTTGTCCTTTGGACATGTTTTGTGACAATTAGAATAGTGTTATGATAGCCTAGCTGGTGTAAATATGGACATAGGATAAAAGAAGGAAAAGCAGAAGAGGCACCCAAACAGAAATGGGAAACATTTTGTGGGGTTTTCTTTTGTCAAAGTAAATGTTGTTATAGATGCACATGTTGATAAGAACGGTTTATTATTTTTTTCAACTAGTGGCAAAAATAAGATAAACTGAAGAATTGTCCCGTACATAACCACAAGCACAACCTTGCTCTGACATCGCCATAGTTAATGATTCAAATGAGAAGGGAGGGGGGTAAAGTTTGCTTTCAGTTGTGTATGTTCACTGTGATTTTAAAAGTATGATATTTATTTCTTATGGGACCTTAAATGTAAGATTTAATAACATGCCTCTTGCACTGTGTATTATATGATTCTTACTCTCATTTCACAGGAAAAGAATAATTTAGAGATAGATTTAAACTATAAACTTAAATCATTACAACAGCGGTTAGAACAAGAGGTAAATGAACACAAGGTAACCAAAGCTCGTTTAACTGACAAACATCAGTCTATTGAAGAGGCAAAGTCTGTTGCAATGTGTGGTAAGTGTTGGTTTTAATATTATTTTATGAGATTAATTTGAAATAATAACTACAAAAAGTTCTTTTAAATCAAAGCTTCATTTTATAGGAGTATAACATAGGCATCTTTTCCCTAGAGTATAATTTTTTTTAATTATATACTTTCACTTTAGTACCTCACTCTGCTACGTTTTATTCCCTACAAAAGTTTATGGAGTATCTGTTTTCTCCTAGTTTTTTGGCCCTTTCCTGGATTTTCTTCCTGATCCATTTGGAATTGTTAATTAATTTATCTGCTTTTTTACTCTGTATCCTTAGTTTTTTCATTCCTTTGTATTTCTACTATATTATGTCTTGAGGCTCAGCACCCGTGTGTCAGTGGTTATGGCACCAGCCACATACCCCAGGGCTGACAGGTTCGAGCCCAGCCGGGTCCTGCTAAACAACAATGACAAGTACAATAAAAAAAAAA